CTCGAAGCACCGAATGTCGGTCTCCTTAAGCAGCTTCGCTGCTTGCGGAACTTGTTACCCGGAATGTGGACCTATGTTACCCACCTGGTGAATGCCCTTCGGCACCACCACTGTCGAAGCGCATACCGCGCGACGAACTTCGGTGTTGGGATCAGCTGACGTGGCAGACCCGCACACACACCGGACAGAGTTGGTGTACACCGACCGAGTCAGAGGAGTCCGGGACCTGGACTCCGAATCACTTGAAGCGACGTCGGCCTGAACAGGGCTCAGACCCGACTTGCGGCGGCTGGCGTGACATGGCACTTTGTTACCCACGTCGTGATGTCTCGTTGACGACATCAGAGGCACTCGAGACCTCGTGTGGCACTGTGTTACCCACACAGAAAGCATGGACAATGCCTTCCTCTTCAGTTATAGTCTGGGCGACTGCGTGTGGTACTGTGTTACCCACACAGGAAGAATAGTCATGCCTTCCTCTTCGGTTATAGTCTGGGCGACTGCGTGTGGTACTGTGTTATCCACACAGGAAGCGCATTCAGCGCCTTCCTCTTCAATTAAGGTCTGTGCGACCGTGTGGTCCTAAGTTACCCACCTGGTTAGCGCTTAAAGGCATAACCACTGTCGAAGCGCGTACGGCACGACGACCTTCGGCGTTGGACGCTGCTGGTGTAGCAGGTCCACACGCCGGGCAAAAGACCCACGCCTGTGGCATTGCCGCAGCGGAGCATGGTCTTGCTGTACGCAGAGCTGTCGGCGCGTTGACAGCTCCGTGACGCTTCTGCGTCCTGACGGTCTGTATCAGACGCCCCAGTCATGACGGAGGTGGGAACATGACTCACCAATGCTCCGTCATAGACCTGGACTGGTAGACCTTTCTCAGCCTTGCCACACCAAAGTCCGGGCTGTGCCTTATGTTCGGCACCGCCATGTTGTTCATGGCGAGAACGGCGAGCGACAGCGCGGTGCGCGAGTTCATCGAGCCGAAACGTTCAGGTCCGTTGATGACCATTGGTACTTCCTTCACCGTACCAAAGGCTAGTCCACCAAGGACCAGCCCACGACCGCCACTCTGACATAGAGTGCAGTCGGATGTCGCTATACCAAGCGACGTTCCGGCGGCGTATCAACGCCCCAGAACTCATCAAACGTTCAAGGGGTACCGTACCCCCGTACACCGAGTGTAATACCAGCAGCCCATCACTGCCCTTCACCGGTTTGAGAGAACCACGTCTCTCTGGGCTAAGGCCCGTGGTGCGCACAGCCTGCACACCCATCACGAAGGCTTAGCGCTCTTCAGTAGGGCATACTGCCTCTACTGGTGGCCGGGGAGTCTTCGTCCACCTGGCCGTGGCCTGCGCCACCGGACTTGGGGCCCACCGGCCGTCTTCTTCCCGAGGACTAGCGAGGGACACACACGCTGGTAGTGTCCATGTCCGCCGCATCCATATCAGCGGACCAAGCTCTCGGCCGAGCTTAAGTCCATGGGTTCGGGCTCGCTGTACGCACCGGTATCAACGGGCTGCGTGACAGCAGAAGCAACAGCGTCATTGCTGCGATGCTCCGCTTCCCGAGGAACGCCGTTCTCAACGTGGCGATGTTCCTCTTCCCGAGGAGTACCAGCCTGCTTGTGGCTGTACTCTTCTTGGAGGGCGATTCGAATCGCCTCCTCCATAGCTGTCGCTTGCACCCGGAATAGCTGGGTGCGAGCAGGACCGACCTTCAGGCCGTCCATGAAGACTGTTGTCTTGACGTCTTCAGGCAGAGGATTCCCTGCCAGAGATGCCACCAACGTGCGCATCTCTTACGCGTACTCCTGCAGCTCACGTTTACCTTGTTTACACGCGAGAAAGCGTGAACGCTGGCGGAAGTCGTTGTATACCGGTAGGAACGCGGCTCGAAGCTGCTCACACAGCTGAGCCCAGGATGCAAAGCATCCAGGCGATGTCGTCTCCCTGGTGTATGCCCAGTGCTTGGCACGTCCACCAAGGTTGGACAGGACAAACGCCACCCGAATTGGCTCGTTCGGGATGAGACCCGCCTTCATGGCGATCTCCACCTCACGGACCCAGAAGTGAAGGTTCTCTCCTGTCTCCCCCTCAAACGCGGGGACCTTCAGCCACACCGGCTTAGGCCTAGTTGCCTGGGGAGCGGCCATCGTGGCCTCCAAGCTCCCGCGGACGTGAGCGATGAGACTACGCTCGTAGGTCTCAAACGCGGTCACGCGCTCTTGTTGCTCGGCAGGCGTCGCCGCCGCCAAGCTGCGAAGGATATCTTGTCCAAAGATGCCTCCCATCTTCCGAACAGACTCGTACTGTGAGTCGTTCAAGCGAGAAAACTCGCTTCGGTCCATCTTGGCTCAAACGCTGAGCGCACAGAGGATTTAGGCAGTTCAATCTACTCGCGATGGTGTTGGATTGACTACGAGTGCTACCAAGTGTGACATGGTCACACAGCACCTTGCACAGAAAAAGTGCTTAAGGGTATTAACTACCCGAGTGAACGTTAGTTCACGTTTTCCCGGCCTCAAAGGGAACGGTTTGCTACTTAGAAGAGTAGATTTAAGACTGATGTATCTATAAGTAAGATTAGCTTGGGTATCATACAAACTAGTGGTTACCTATAGTGGAGCTAAGTAGTTATGCACTGACTGGCTCCGAGAGCACCTGGTACCGTGTACCAGGTGTCCACAAGAGTGACGGGTTACTCTTTATGTAACATGGGGCACGCTGGATTGTACCCCGTTACAGATGCTGGCAATGACTCTGACAGTGGTGATGAAGAGCAGTCACTCTCATCCCACGACAGACTACAGAAAAATTCGACACCGATAAGAAAATTGGCTGCTGCTATGAAAGAGGGTATGGCATCGATAACGGCATCCATGACTACGGAGGTAAAGCTGGTGGAAGTGCTCCAGGATCTCAACTAAGCGCAAGAAGCATCGCGCGAGCTGCAGACACGCCAATTGACACTACTCGAGCACCTTGTTACGAAGCTCACATGGTGAAATCAGAGCCTGGTTGGCGAATCACCCCTTCGTATTCGACTATGCTTGTACTTGATCCAGATAATTTGAAATCACGTATAAAAGTAAGAAATTTAACTAGGTTTTAATCAGCCCAAAGATATTCCATTAGCTCCTTTTCTTTAGACAAACCTTTGTTGTGGCTCAGTTTAACCTCCGACGACAAAAAAGATAGCAATCCCGGTGGGGCGCGGTCTGGATCCACTCCTTGTATCCCGTAAGTGTCCTTTAGTTCGACCATCAAAACTAAACATCCCACAAAACCTTCGTGACACGCTTCGGTGATTTCTGCTCGGTCTTCCCAAAGAGGATACAGTATTCTTCAGGATGCCAAAAGCACGCTCATCAATAATACGCGTCTGATAGTTTAAAGTTATAGCGCCTCTTTTTATGATTTTGAACAGCTTCTCCTCCATTGAGTATGTGACGAAATATTTTGTAACCAGCATCGCCGAAACAATGCATACCACTAGGAACAGTAGCTCTATTACGTAGACTGGATTGGTTCCACAGCGATTGATCGTTGATGGATCCCGCCCGGATGCAGTACGATCTGAAACGTATTTTGTGGTCTACGACGGCCTGTTTGTTTTCTGCAGTACCATCCTTTATGTTCGGAAGGGCGGGAGATGCGCAGCAAGGTGCCGTCCACTGTTCCAATTACATCTGGAAAGCCGGCTATCATCTCGAATCCGTATTGGATATCCTCAATCTCCGCTTGCATTGTAGAAATCTTGATTCCGTCTTTAGCCATCCTTCCAAGTACAGCTAAGACTTGATTTACGTACACTACAGCGCTTGATCATGACAATCCCATTCCAGTGGCTGCGCTATCTATTGTTCCACCGGAGGATATATATATCAATGTCACTGCAAATCGTCTCGTAATGTCGAGGTTTACGTTATGATGAATGTGACCTTTCCGGTTCAGACGGACAAGAGCCATCACAGCAAGAAAGGTGTGCATGTCGCAGCGCATCTTCACATTAAACCACTTCGTATTCTTGCACGTCAATGCCCGCTCAAATGCCGTAGCCGAAAAGATGTTGGTGTTCCTACGAGGCAATTAATCGATACGACGACGATCGCTGCAGAGAGCCGTAACCGTTGCATAGACGCACTGTAAAACGCAGAGAACTGCTAATTTGGATTTGTGGTCCATGGTTGGACAAGCTGACTTACTGCCTGATTTTGTGTGCGCCAAGAAAGCAAAACACAGAGTGGGCTCTTGGAGCGGAATATACTGTGGCAGAGACAGCAAACTCGTTCCGACTTCAGAGCACCTCCACAAGGTGTTATGAGAACCCCACACAAAACGGTATAAATCGCTCTGCTCTCAGCCAATCAAAAGGCAGATTTTTCAGAACGAGTTTGGTATTTTTCTGCTTAGACCAGGGCCGCAGCTATTAATAGCTCTAAGGATCTCATCTTACGCAGTGAAGTCAGATTGCGAACGAACCACGTGCTCACTCAATAAACGACCTCGAACCTTTTCGTTTGACTAGTAGGTACGTTTTATTATACTTTGAGCTCGTACTGGTACGTATGCTCAGTATAAATATTTATTTTTCATAAATTACCCACGACAATTCTTATTGGAAAAAAAATGTAATGGAAAAATTGTGTCATAGCAATTCGAGCGTCTGATTGGTTCAATAACACCAAATAATCTCTAAATATTGTTTGAGCATACTTCTGAAACGCGACCTTACAAATTCTTATGATGCGTCGTGTAACGAAGCGGCAAAAACCCCTTCGTTAGGGTTAGGTGCATTTTAGAACAAATAGATAATTGTTCGTCTGAATGGGCAACTATTTGAGTGTTGTTTAGACATTCGTTTAGAATGCTTAAATCGCGATTCGTACTTAGGTTCGTAAGTATCATTTTGTTTTGAGTGGGCAGAAATGTTCTGCTGCGCTTCGCTTAGGTACGACCCCCTTCAGTTCTTTCTTTTGCAGAACCCGTGGCAAGATGGAGGAAGCAAGTCTGTTCTGTGCGATTATCGGGGTAGAGCGTGTGTTTCTTGTCGACATTCTTCAGAGCAAAACAGTAGGTCACTTGAAGATCGCGATCAAGAAGCAGAAGACAGGCGTCTTGGGCGATGTTGATGCCGACAGGCTACAATTGTTTCTGGCCTGGAACAACAGCAAGTGGCTTACTACTGATTCTTTCGATGTGGAGCAGCTAAGGCAGGGAAGGACGACGGAAATTGTCGACGCTCTAACGCAAAAAAAAAAGGAGCTCATTGAGTCGGCCGTTCTTGACAAAGTGCTCGGGGACAAGGGTCCTTTAACACCCGACCAATTCCACGTGCTTGTGACAATCGCTCCACTAACCAAACTCAAACGACAAAGGGAGGAAGACTATGAAGATCTGAACACTAAGCGGCTGAACTTTAGGGAACCAACACTTACGGAGCTGCTGGAGAACTGCAACGTGACTGGTTCGTTGCCGCCCACCGGCGATTTTTTGAAGATGTTCGAGTGGAGCAATCACGATTGCGGGAAAGTGAAAGACATTAAAGCGATTGGAGACATTGTAGGCTTTACGGGTCGTCGGTTTTATGTGAGAAAAGAGATTCTGTGTGTGTTGGAGAACTTCAAGGACTTTCTCCAAGATAAGCTCGCTACGAGTGCGAAAGTAAATCTCGACAATAGTGAGCAGAAGCAGTTCATCTTCACTGGTAGCCCAGGAACTGGTAAGAGCACCATCTTGGCGTTGATTTGCTTCTACTTGGGAATTGTGAAGAAATTGCCGGTTGTGTGGTATCGTTGTATCGATGGGGGAGGCGTAAAACCAGTTACGACTTTGCTTTACGAAGGCAAGTATTACCGGTGGATTGAAGAACTTGGCGGCAATGGCAAGATGTACGAGTATTTCTGCAAGCCAGGCCTTGGAATCAACAAGGACAGTTGCTGGTTTTGTCTCGACGGTTTGAATCAGGACGAAATTAAGCGGAGAGGCTACCAGAATTACTTTACGCTATTAGCAACCTCTGCACAATTTAACCCGAATGGAGAAGGCGGAAATAGCCAGGTGACCTGTTTGTTGCCCTACTGGAAGCAAGCTGACTTGGAATTCGTGGCCGGTGCGCTTGGGATTAAAGACGAGAGCGATGTCGCCAAAAAGTATTTTGTGTCCGGTGGGAGTATTCGCGATTTCTTGCTGCCGGTACGACAAGCTGAGATTGGTCTAGCAAGAGCTTTGAGTCGTCTTACTAGTGAGAGCGCCAACGTGCTCCTAGGAGTGGATGGGTGTACTTCGGACAAGCAAATTGACCGCATTCGAATAATGGGAGTGTTGGATGTTGCGGACGTGTCGCAGTATACGCTTTCAACCTCCTGGAGACCATGCGTCAGCTCGATAATGGCGCTAAATCACTTGAGTGGTATGGTCCAACCTGGGTTTTTTGAAAAGCTGGCCGTGGTTGCTAAATCGCTGGATGATCCTCGCCTTCAAGGCGTTGCGCTTGAACAGTTTTTCCACGCACTGGTTCGACGCCAAGATTTCGTCCAGATATCATATATGAAGTATGACAACGTGCATCGGACGTCTAAAGTGGACTATCAAGGCATCATGAAGCAAGAAATGGGTACGATGTCATTCGGGCGGTCCATTGATTTACTTGATTCAAATAAGCCGCTGTACGTCAAACGCGAAGGAAAAACGATGGACGATTACGAATCGGTGATGAAGCGGTGGGCTGCAAACCCTTGCGAGATGGACTACTGGGTTCCCGCGTCTAGCATGTGTGAGACGATTGACGCAGTTGCTAAGTGGGAGCTAGTGAATGGCCAAGAAAGTGTGGAGCATTTTTGCCTCGTGCAGCTGACGAAGGCCATTCGGCACGTGTGTAAAGAAGATGTTCTCTGGAAGTTGGCGCAGCCATTTTTGGATGCGAAGAAAAAAGTGTGCTATGTTGCACTGCTGTTTGACGATGACGGTGTTGGCGAGAGAGCGATGGAGAAAATATGGAAGTTTCGATTGGATCCAGTGATGATAAATACTGTTGACGGGCAGAATCACATCCCGCTATATGTCGCGACATACCAGCGGCATGACGTCCAAGCTGCATGAAGGATAACGGGGGATCTTGCGCTATCTTGGCTTATTGAAAGATGATTATCACGTTGAGCTGGCTTCTATACAATAACAGTTTTCTTCGGCGAAATATTTTAAGTTGTTTGCACCATTGATTAATGCATCCATCCAAAATGGGTGCCTTCCAAAACCTACACAAAGTGTCGCGCATTAAAGTTTGTTGACGATGAATTGTTTGGTGATACTGTAGTACTAGTAGTACCACTTTTTGGTCTCATCAAACAGCTCTAATACGATTAAACACATGACTGAACGTCACTAAGACCGAAGGTCGCGTTCCAGCAACCGTTTTGGTGTGCATTAAACCGATCTGTATATATTTTATACTAGTATAGCCGAGTAAGCTCAGTTTACGGTTTAATCCGTCTACTAAACCGATTAAACCGTTTTAAATGGTCTAATGGAAGGCCATTGGATGATTTGATCCTGTGGTTGTGAAAGATGATAAGAGCCCGTTCGGGAAAAATCTCACAGGTTTTTCCGCATAAAACCACCGCAAAAAACGATCGTTTTCAAAGCGACGCCAGCGCCACTGCCATCGCCACCAAGCGCCCGAACTACTCGTGGTCGAGGGCGGCACCAAAATCAAGACGTTGATTCGGTGGCTGCGTCCTGGAATGACGAAGACGTGCGTGTGCTCATCGAGCTCAGGTACGAGATCCGCCACCAGGCGACCCCCCTCCGCCAGATCCAAGGAGTCCGCCACCACGAGGCGACCTCCTCCCACCATCGCTACCCGATCCGCCGTCACTGTCGACTTGGATCGCGGATCCCGCAGTGTCGACGATGGCCGCGCGGTTTGAAGGCGCAAAGACATCAAAGCAAGTCAAGGTGGAGCAAGTAAGGTGACCTTTATTGCATTAGACAGCGATCACAGTATACATGTTGTGAGCAGCCCTCATTGTTGCTGCAATATCTACGCAGCTTTTGCGGCACTGTACATGTACCTACTTATTTAGTCGTCGTTGTCTCCGAAGAGGCTTTTGAAAATACTAATGACACCACCACCGCTTGATTCCTCGGACTCCTCCGCTACGACATCACTAAACTCGCTCCCGCTGGCTAAGTCTTTGCCGCCGTCGCCGTATATTTCATCGTTTTTGACTCCCCAGTCATCTTCGGCATTTGCAGCACCAACATTTTCGCCACTAACTGTCGCACCTTCAGCCCCTTCAGCTACATCTTCCTTGGCGCCTTGTTCGCCGCCGCCTCCCATCATGAGCGGGAACATCATGCCGCCAGGTCCGCCACGAGGGATGCGAGCCGCCATTTCTCCAACCACGCGCTCGAACGGTAGACTCTGCAAGTAGATTTTTCCAGGCCCAGTGAGCGTCGTCACGAACAGACCCTCGCCACCAAAGAGCACATTCTTTGCTCCCTTCATCATGGTGATGTCGTAGTGGACACTAGGCTCAAAGGCAACGAGGCAGCCACTTGAAATGCGAAGCACTTCACCAGGCTGGAGCTCGCGCTCGATCAGTGTTCCGGTAGCACGGACAAGCACATCACCGCTGCCTGTCAGCCTCTGCAAAATGAACCCTTCGCCACCGAAAAAACCGACGCCAAACTTCTTGGCGAATTCCTGCAGTATCACGAACAAACACAAGTCAGAACGGTCCTACTTGACAAGCCAAGGCAGGGTAAAGAAGCACAACGAACCATTTCGATGTTGACAGTGTCTGAGCCGCACAAGAACGCTCCCTTCTGACAGATGATTGATTCGCCCAGGAAGTCATTCAGGCGGAGGTGAACAATTTTGCTTGGAAAGCTGGTGCCAAGCGCCACTTTGCCCTTCTCTGAGCCATGGTACGTAAAGCGCGATACGAAGAAGTTTTCGCCGGTCATCATTCTGCAATAGTTTCAGAACAATAGTGAGTTCTGCCCGTCGTCGACTATTGCACAAATTGAGCTTACCGCTTCATGCCTTCGCCTAATCCTCCAGCGGTGGTCGTCTCCATTTCCACGCCATCTGTCATGTAGATCATGGCACCGGTCTCAGCTCGCAGGCATTGTTCAGGTTCGAGCTCGATCTACATCGAAAGACGCAAGCCATGTCAGATTCTAGCTGCACAAGCACTTAACGCCAAGTCAGGGGTTTAGTCTTACGTGGACCACTTGTGAGTCGTGGCCTTCAATAGACATGGCCGTGTCGAAGTCGATAGGGACGAACACTTCATTGCCCGTGTTCTCCTGGTGCGGCACGGTGGCAGACTTGGCCTCACTCTCCTCCTTCTTGGCCTCAGGCTCCGTCGACTTCAAATCATCCACCGTCTGCGGAGCTACACCGGGAATCTGACGGACAGTCTTGCGCAGGTCCTTGTTGTAGTACACGATTTCACCTAGTACAGTTAACAGTTGTGATCTCTCTCAGTTAGAGTTTCTTTAAGCAATTTAGCCTAACTAACGCACCGTTATTTCGCTTGATAGCCTCCCAGGCAGCAGGCAACGCTGACGAAAACACTCTGGCCTGATTCAGATGCACGAGGCGGGCGGAGGCTGCCATAGTTGGCGCGAATCGAAGCATTGCGCAGCGCAGCATTACATGTACTTCGTAAATGAGCTTCGTTCGAACGTTCACTGAACGAACGTCGTCTCGAACTCTCGTCAATTGACAAGTGACGATCGATTTTAAAGGCTATGCATCTCCGAGATGATATTCTATTTCGAAGCTACAGAAATGCTGTAAGTAAGGTCTACTTGAAAAAGCAGCGCCGCTGTGAAGGTATTTCAAGCGGTTATTACAGTGTATATAAACTCTGTTGCTCCGACTCAAAACCTATCTGTATTTGACCGCCGCAATTGTATTACGCGCTGTAGCTGCTGCTTGCGATGGTTGGACTTCTATTAATTGCACTACAGTGCAGCAAAAGGGCTCAACACAATCGCACAAAGCTTTGTGTCAAAGTGTGATAACAATAGGCGTCGGTGGTTCGAGACATTGGGAAGTGGTGTCCGTTACGCGCTCGCCTCCTACATTTGGATCGGTAATTTACGTAATAAGCTGAGAATATTGCAGTATGTGGCTTTCTTTACGTGAATTTCTGAGAAAGCAAAACAGAAGACACGTCCTTTCTTTCACCCCTCCTTTACTCTAAGCTAAACCGACTTTGACTTGAATCATGCCATCCGTCCTGAAATTCAAACCAGCAGTGGTTTCAGATTCGGTGCCCTTTTCTTGCTCTCTTTCTTGGCATTTGTAAGCACGAGAAAGGAGTGTTGGTCACCGACGTTTTGAAACGGGGGCTGGACCATATTTAACTCCAACGGTAATTTTTCCCGCGCGTCCCGACGCCGCCCGCAACGCAAAACTCCTTCATTCGCCAAAAGTCCGAATTCTCCTCAGAGCCCGCGCCAGCCAGCCAAGAGCCGCCGCAGGAATCCCGACCGTCGACGTAAAGCAACAGGTATGACATTCCAGCAACGCTAATAAGCGCCTCCCCCTTCCTCCCCTCATGTGGTACTCAAGCGGGCCCCCTCAATCCTCCGTCTGCAGCTGGAATCCCCCACCATACGAAGGGAAAGGGGGGAAGGGGCGTATCGCGATCTTTTGCCTGTTGTTACTCTTGCTGACGCTTTCGTTGCCTCAATTTACTCGCAGACAATAAAATGAGAGAGCTCGTTCACATTCAGGGTGGTCAGTGTGGTAACCAGATCGGTGCCAAGTTCTGGGAGGTCATCTCCGACGAGCACGGCGTGGACCCCACGGGCTCGTACCACGGCGACTCAGACCTGCAACTGGAGCGCATTAATGTGTACTACAACGAGGCCACGGGCGGCCGTTACGTGCCCCGCGCCATCCTCATGGATCTTGAGCCCGGTACCATGGACTCCGTTCGCGCTGGCCCCTACGGTCAGCTTTTCCGCCCAGACAATTTCGTGTTCGGACAGACTGGCGCTGGTAACAACTGGGCCAAGGGACACTACACTGAGGGCGCTGAGCTGATTGACTCGGTGCTTGACGTCGTTCGCAAGGAGGCAGAGAGCTGTGATTGCCTTCAGGGTTTCCAGATCACGCACTCGCTTGGTGGCGGTACCGGTTCCGGTATGGGTACGCTTCTTATCTCGAAGATTCGTGAGGAGTACCCCGATCGCATCATGTGCACATACTCGGTCTGCCCGTCGCCCAAGGTATCGGACACGGTCGTGGAGCCCTATAACGCTACGCTATCGGTACACCAGCTTGTCGAGAACGCCGATGAGGTCATGTGCCTGGACAATGAGGCCCTGTACGACATTTGCTTCCGCACATTGAAGCTCACCACCCCCACTTATGGTGACCTGAACCACTTGGTGTGTGCCGCCATGTCCGGTATTACCACGTGCCTTCGTTTCCCCGGTCAGCTGAACTCGGACCTGCGTAAGCTGGCCGTGAACCTGATCCCGTTCCCGCGTCTCCACTTCTTTATGATTGGTTTCGCTCCTCTGACATCGCGCGGCTCGCAGCAGTACCGCGCCCTGACGGTGCCCGAGCTGACCCAGCAGCAGTTCGATGCTAAGAACATGATGTGTGCCGCCGACCCTCGCCATGGCCGCTATTTAACTGCAGCTTGTATGTTCCGCGGACGCATGAGCACGAAGGAGGTTGATGAGCAGATGCTGAACGTGCAGAACAAGAACTCGTCATACTTCGTCGAGTGGATCCCCAACAACATCAAGGCTAGCGTGTGTGACATCCCGCCCAAGGGTCTGAAGATGAGCACTACGTTCATTGGTAACTCTACTGCTATCCAAGAGATGTTCAAGCGTGTGTCCGAACAGTTTACGGCTATGTTCCGTCGTAAGGCTTTCTTGCACTGGTACACCGGTGAGGGTATGGACGAGATGGAGTTCACTGAGGCTGAGTCCAACATGAACGATCTGGTGTCTGAGTACCAGCAGTACCAGGACGCCACTGCAGAGGAAGAGGGCGAGTTCGATGAGGACGAGGAGATGGATGAGATGATGTAGACGTCGTAGTAGGTACGACTTCCTTGCTGATCGCCTTTGTGCAACTCGTGAGTAGTTTAGCTATCTACACTCGTAGAGGTTAGTGGCTTGGCATCTACAGAACAGAGACCTTATTACCATGCTTAACTGCTTTTTTGCTACTTCGAAGTACATGACTTGGATACAATGGATTAACGTGCTAGTCGAAGTTTCACTTCATGTGCCACGTGCCTGCAGTCTTGAATGCCTATGCGTTGTCTATTTCGGTGGTAAAGTTGAAGTTGCCCTGATTCTTACCGCAATTGGTCATGTGCAGCCCCGGGGCTTTGCCTTCGGGCCCCGATGGACCAGACGTCCTGCCTTCCAGAATGACTTCCGCGCAGATACGCACGCTGGGGATCACCAGGGCCTCATACCAGCCCTTTCGCGAGTCCTTCTTCTTCGACCCACACGCCAACACAGCCCTAACGAAGGGCGGGATGGTACCAGACCAACGCGTATATGCACGGGAATCGCGACGGATGTGGACAACTCACGGTCCCCACATCGATCTGCGACTGCCAAAGACAACAGTGAAGCCGGGAACCGCCTTCCGGAACGAGTGTCTTAGTGCCGACCAACTCTACAGCAATAACCACAACTCGATGGGCTATGACGTTCATCGTACGTTAAGCTCTCTATGAACTCAATAACCAAATGACAGTATTTACACTTTTACAGGCTCTTTACGGGGCACCAGCTTGTGCAGTACCACCAAGCGCTTCAACTATGTAAGTATTAATGACAAATTGTCAATACTGTATGACAATCAGCGTGCCTAACAGTAGTGAAATGAGACTCGCGCAGAAGTCTCCCACTCCCGAATGTGTTGGCCCTGGCTCCTACAATGTGATGAAGAAGCCGAAAGGTCTACTTACAGATCCGCCTGCTCGTCAAAGTGGCGTAAGTGTTTTGTATCTTTTCCATGTCTTCGGTAGCAGAGTACAACAGTAGTATTCATTTTGCCGCCCATATCAGGAACTCGCTCTGGGTCGACTTTCGCAGTGGGGAGGGCGGCCCGACTCACGATCAATGGGCAGTGCCGATGAGTGGAAGTGCACATCCGAAATACCCTCCGTTACGAGGTTTTCGTTCCGCAAGGCACGGGCTTCGACGTGGATTGAACAGGTCGAGCAGCGTCAACGTAAAGAGAACCCGTTGGCACGAAAGCCTGGGATCTGCTTGGATATTCGTCCGGAGCATCGACTCCCTCATTACTTGCAAGGCATCAGAAACCCGGTGCATACCAACCAGGCAACGAAGCCTAAGGCACAAACCCCAAGCTCGGCCCCTGGACGAGTTCGTCCTTTGGTTGTCTCACTTTATCCAAAAGCAAGCAAAGATACAGATTAAAAGTATGGTGTACATATAAGATGTCCATTAATTCCATGATCAAGCAAGCAAACAGACTCATTTTGCAGGCTGTGGCTTGGGTCTTTTGGCGGGGTTGCGTCCTGGGATCTGCCAAAGCAACCAGAACACTTGTTAGTAGCTAATTCACAGCAGGTCGTCGCCTGCATAGCGGTGCCGTATTAACGCAGACTGGTGCATAATAGTAGGTGGAGTAACTGAAGCCAACGCACCAGTACGTCGGGGTTCTTGGGATCCTTGACCCATGTGATGTTGCTGATGTTGTTGCTCTCCTTGAAGAGCAGCAGGAACTCGCCCACGCGCTCCACCTTACAGCCCCATAAATAAATGCGGTTGCTCTTGAGCACCACCTGCGTGGCGGTCAATTGCAGTATGTCGCCAAGCCGCACGTGCAGCGCTACCGTCTTGGGCAGCACAAGGCTCACACAGCTGGAGTCATCGCCCACTATCATCGTCGCGTTATTGCTAGTATTTCCCTCGTCCTTGGCATTGCACTCCAGCACAATCACCTTCACATGCACCTCCTTATTGCTCAGCGTCGGGCTCAGGTCCTTCACCCGTGTCAGCGTCAGCGTCTTCTTAGTCGACATGGCGTAACTTTTCGACCAATTCACTTAGAAACGAATCAACTATTGGCTTAAATCATTTTCTACAAATCCCATTGTACTACCAGGAAACGGCCGCTTGAAGCACCGCACTTAGGCATGAAGCACATCTTCCATCGGCGGACGCGCAGTCCCTCGGCCTCCTCTCCGCCCGACAGCCCGAAACACACTTCGCCGATAGGTAGATCATCTCGCAGAGCCGCATCCGCTTCTGCCAATACCTTTCACACCAAAAATGGATCTGAATTGACCGAGAAACAATCCATAGTAAAGTCAAGTGCCCTGCATGCAAAAGTGGTGACATTTGCGACGTCTGCGCATCCAGGAGACCAACAGGATGCTCTTGACTATATATTTAACGCCCTCCTGGGTGTCGATCAAGCTTCTGAGCCCATCAATAGCGGAGCGAAGCCACTGAACGAGCGAGACACCAACACTCTTATTAGCGTGACTGCCCAGCGACTACGCGGCTGCTTCAGTCGCGCGCTGGAGCTTTTCAACGCTGGAAGGCTAGACGGCAACATCAATGCTAAGTTCTTATTAGCTACAGAAAAGGAGGAGAGACATCACGTGCTGCAATTGTTATACGTGCTGAAGGCTCTGCTGGTACGCGGTGACAACGCCCAAGCTCTGTTGCTGGTGGGTGAGAGGATACCGTCGACATTTGTAAAGGTTGTAAAGGCGCTAAGTGATGGGAAAAATGAAGAAGACACGCGAGAGCTATTGAGGGTGACGCTGGACGTGTTAGGACTGCTTGTTACGTCTCCAGAAGCGGTACAAGAGCTCAATGAGAGCAGTACGTTGCATCGTATTTTCCACTTGGTGTTTACAGATGAAATACTGCAGATAGCCGTCCTGAAGGTAGCAACCTGTGCTAAGTTTAAAGCTGCTTTGATGTTGAGAGCTAATTGTGAATATTTAATGCATCAGGTAGTGGAGGCTCTGGTTCAAGGTCTGCAGCCGAGCAGATGGAGATCAATGGTGAAACAGTTATGTGACGAGCGATGCCTACTTGACTTGATTCAACGTGCGAATGGAACTGGAGTGCTGGCGAAGGTCATATTAGTGACAGCCTTGTCTTTGAGAGGGGCGATTACTGCAGGACTCTCTGATCTGCACAGACAAGTGCACACGGATCGACAGCGGCAGAAGATTTTAGCTACATTCGTGCAATTGTTTGAGTCGCGTCAACGCGCAATATGTGCGAAGACAACAACGCCATCTTCGCTAGAAACTCTTCGCCAGCATGATCAAGACCTTGCAGATGCTGTTGCAGAGCTGTGCTTGTCGGGGAGTGAAACGCCTCTTGCTAGGGGTAATATTTACCAGAACAAGGCCTTTAAGCTGGCTCTTGATTCGACTACGCCTGCTATGGGGCAGTCATTATTTAATCCTGAAGCGTTTGGATTGCTCTCAGATATTCTGGCGTACTTGCATCGTGCGACGAAGGTCGAGAAAGAGCAGCACGATGATAGTCGAGTTTCTAACGAGCTGGTAAACGATCGTGAGTGTCTCGAGTGTCGTTTTCTTCAGAAACTCTGTCAAATAGTCGTCACGTACAAGTTTGACTATGAATTTGTGAGCGTAAGTACTGGCACAAATTCTGGAGCCTACTGTACGTGATTGCAATTAACTTTTATTAAACTGACGTGTTCTGGATAGAAAACAAATCTTATAGCGCGGGCAATTGAGCAACTTGATGATTACTCGGAGATGGCGCAGCAAACGATTATGTCTGTGCTCTCTGCAATTGCAATAGAAGCAAAGATGATTCCGTACGTCGAGCTCGAGAGTATAAACGCATTCATTCGGAAGGTCAGTACCAGTTGTGTCTGGGAATGTAAGGCTGACAGTGGGATAAAACGTTAGCCATCCATTAACCAACGTATGTGGTGTCCAGGAAACGTTCCAAAGCTCCTCAATACATGCGCTGCTGGCTTTTATCGCCAATCTGCTTCGGTTCGACGACGTATACCACCAAGTGTTACGTTCCGTCGGTCTTGTGAATTCTATCGTGGCGCTATTTCTTGAACAGACGAATGCTATTTGCTCTGATGCTGGGGGCACTCAGATTCGGGTGGAATACCCCACTAGCACGGTTAGAGACAGCCGTGTGTCGAACGATCCGGGCAGTGCCGATGAAAAGTTAATTGTCTCATTGATGGCATCTCATTGTCATCAAAGGGCACGTCGTCGGAGCTCGTGTCGTGTCGCTACGACCCGGTCAGATTACCTTGTTCTTATCGACATCATGAAGCTATTTGCTGACGGTTCCCGGGGTAATACTGCAGCCATGGACGAGAAACATTTTGAGCATACATTGTGTGGACTGCCAATGCTCGAGAGCGTGTGTATGCTGATCGGAAATGGTACTTATCAGCCGGAAGGTCTTGCTTTGTGGGCATCTATCCTTCGACTATCGCTGGTACTGCAGGAAGACAGTGTAGTGCTTCGCAACGTGGTCAACAGCCTTTTACAGGCGGTTCGTTATGTATCGTTAGCCGTCTACTTCCCGCAAGATGGTGACGTTACGTTGGCATTTCCGGGTGATATGGCTGTACTACAGGGAGCTATCGGGTACATGGAGTCTTTACTGCGCCCCAAATCGGTCTCTTCGCCAGTCACGGCACGGAATGGAGAGCATGGTACTTGTTTCGAGGAGACAGCAATGAGAGATCGCGTTATTGGAGCTTTGCTGGATTGCGATGTTATTGTATCACTTTTGGGAGCTCTTTGTACCGTGGCGAAAAGGTGGGAGTGCCCTCCTACAAGTAGTAGCGATATTTCTATTGGTCGTGCTGCTGTGCTGCTGTCACTACAGCTCATCTTCTCTATCGTATCAACTAGCACCGAAGCTGAGCAACAGTTGAGCAGGTACGAAGAGCTCGCATTTGCTCTCGTGGCTTTATCATATTTCTATCCGTGCTAACTGCTGGCTCTGCGTTTACTAGCTTCATTTCGTTTGGAACCTTTGGCGATTTAATATCCAAGTTGCTATCACGATTAATTCAGTCAAAACCTATTGCTCTAGAGGCAAATGATTGCGGGATACCAGGAGCAAAATCACTTGTTCAGTCTTGCGTGTGGTATTGTATCGGGTTTTCTGTGGGTGATTATGACATGTTTTGTCGTCGGAGCTTTCACTCGATAGACGTGCACGAGAAGGGAGATCGTTATTCTGTCAGTTTGCGGTACCCCCCGTGGTTTGCTATTGGGGTTCAGCTCCTAGCGCGATGGGCAGAGGAGCTCGATACCAGTTCTACGCACCAATTGCTGAGTATTCTCCTGCGTATATCAAAGTGGTACGTAATATCTCGCTGTGAAAATGTGAGTTCTGCTTTGCATCTGTTTACAGTGAAATTAATCGGGTGTTTGCTGGCTTAGCCCGGGTAACTCGCATCGTCTGGCGTCGACTAATGTGTTGGAAATCTTATTGAGGTCATTCACAGCGGTTTCCAGCAGCTCTAAAGATTTACACAGTTCCAGGGAGAACAAACTTTCGCAAGCTCTGCTTTGGGAAACCAATGTGTTTTATGAGACTGCGGCTTCCATTGTGGAGAATGTTGCACTTACCAGCGTCTCTCTTACGTCTGCAGACTACTGGATTAAAATGCTGCTGTGTTTATGTCATGAACGATCACGGCAGTCGATAAAGCCGAGAAAATCAGACCGTTCATCGCGTTCGCTCTCGATAATACGAACCCCAAAAGTTCCCAACGCTTCCAATGGAAAAACCTCTGCATCATCAAATGAGGTACCGGCTTCCCCTGTGCCACCGTTGATGCGGTTGCTGGTAAAAATGACGTCGGCAACGTTTGAGCGTGCCAAGGGCGCTTCTGGCATTGAGTTTGACGTATCAAGAGATGGATACGGGTGTCTTCAAATCCCGGACATTAATGCCCGATGTGCGTCTTCGACTGAGCCTGCAACTACGCCATCTTTGTCGACTTTTTCACATAGTTCGAAGGTGTGGCCTCCACCTGATGGTTACTCAGTGATGGCTTGGTTTCGATTGGACTCATTGGAGCGCAAGGATGACCGTGAAAGACTCTACCGTGAGTGTTTTATGTCTAACACGTGCATTCATTGCCGAAACAAGATACAGGACGAGTGTGTGTTGAAGTGTTCTCATCGAGCGTGTCGAGGCTGTATTGAGGCACTTCTTAATAGTGGTGGTGAGTGTGTGGTTTGCAATCCGCCGATGTTCTATCTCTTCAGATTTCGATCAAGTGATGGAAACTCAGTGAGTGAAGCGTTTTTGAAAGGAGGAAAGCTGTACATGCGGACGAGCTCGAACCGCGCGTCTGCTTACCAGTTTTCACATACTCCGATCGCGACAAAGCAGTGGCATCACGTTGTCTTCACGCATGCAAGGCAACGTTTCCAGCCCAGTATGGTTTCTTGCTACCTGAACGGAGTTCTGCAAGAGCACGTGAAGATATCGTACCCTTCCGGCATTACAGGGAGCCAACCGCTCAGTGGTTTATTAGGTGTACCATCCCAAGCACGCCGTTGTTCCAGTGCGAAATGGATGCTCGGTCCATTCTATCTATTGGATCTACCTGTCTCGCCGCCTGTAGTGAATGCAGTGTTCGCTGCGGGGCCTTCGTATGACCGACTCTTCTTTGGCGCTACAGGAAACAACGAGATAGGAGTCACGTTCGACCACCTGAATATTCCAAACATGGTGATGCTTGATTCGTATATGTGGGACCCTGTGCGTTCGTTAATCGATTCTGTCGATGTTGAACGTGGTGGTCGTAACAAACTGCTTCGTCGGAGTCTCTCGCTGGCCTCGGCAGCATCAAGTACGGCTGCAGCCATCGTTCAGGACATCAAGTCAAGCTCCAACGTGTTTGCTCGCATTCCTAGTGCAGCGCCATTGGTTCATATCCCGATTCCATCCGAGCGTATCGTGGTAACATACTCTGCACGAAATGGTGTGGCAAAAGAGCTATCGATGGTGCCCAGTAGTAAGCTTGATGGACGACCAAGTGGACATCTCATGGGAGGGGCAACGTTGTGCGAAGCTGCGACAATGGCAGATGCTATGTTCGACATACGCAGCTCTGGGTGTCAAGTCGCGTATGGGCTGCTAGATGAGGCTTCGACAGCTGAGGAAGTGGAGTTGGCCCTCGATCTACTCCGGCTTTGTATGCAGAGTAACTTTCGAAACTTGGCAGCGATGGAGCACGATCATGGATATGGCGTTGTGAATTATTTGCTTCACCAAAAGGCATCGCTTTTGAGTGCGCAGTGCTTGCAAACTTTGTTCCGAATCGTTGGAGTGGACTTTGAACTCGACGCACCGGCGCGACAATCGGGAATAGAGGCGCACCCTTCCCGGGACAGTGCTATCCGGAATGTACAAGCTCTGCAGTACTTTATTCTGGACTACTCGCTCTGGCAAAAAGTGCCGGGTACGGATACAGCAAGGCTACTTTTCTCGACGCTGTACTCGTGTCTGGCCGCTGATGACGAGGCAATTCGTGAGCGAAACCGAGCACAGTTGCAATCGATGAGCTTTATTCGACAGCTTCTATACGTACTTATGGACCCCACCGTCACGGATGGTGTTTCTCGAGTGGTTGTGGATGTGATTTTAGTGTGTTTGACGAGCCCAAGCCGTGATTCGATTGTGGAATCAAATTTCTCAGACGTCACCAGCTTTCTTGCAGCTACACTGTCCCCACGCTTTGGTCGGTATCGGAGTGAAGGTGTTGATGATGAAGTCTCTGTTGAAGTGGTATTAGACGCAATTGGTACCATGGGCGACGACGACATGTTTAATTCCGCCGAACGGAAAATGGAGCAGTTCAAAAGCCACACTCTAGCAAGTCCAACCGGTCGATTGTGTCTGAGTCCACGGGGATCTCAACGAATGGATGGGAATACTTGGAGTGAACCTAACGATAGAGAAGAAAAACCTGGACCAACAAAAGTGGCAAATGCGCAGTTGATCTCACATCAAGCTAAGATCCAGGAACTGTTGTTGGACACATTGGTGAAAGCTGTGCACAAACTTGATGTGAAGGAGAGCAGGGAATTTGGAGAGGACCTTGACAAAAGGGGCTCAGATGCGAGTTCTGGTGGACCACTTAAATCTGTTACTTCATCAAGCACTTCTTCGAGTGGGGCTGCACGAATGCAATTGCCAAGTGCGTCTCGTCTAACGGGATTCCGCAAATATTTGGGTATGCGTTGGATTGAATATTTCCTCTTCCCTGGTGATGAAACGGAGTTTTCACTTCGTGTTACTCCGTCGACAATCAATGCAGCACTACGGTTGCTATGTACTTTGCTTGGGAACTCACGATACGAAAGCGTCTTTAAGAAAGAGGGCTATTATCGGTTGCTTGCTCAGGGTTTGCCGTGCAATCACGCCATGTTCACGACTGCCGCTGTGAACCAGCGTTTTCCATTCCAGAAGATGTGGTTTACTCTGTTTGGAGCACTTCTAGGGACTCCAGTGGACGGTGTGCCCGCTGCAATACGGCTTGAAATCGACTACCTCCGAAAAGATTTTGAAGTTAACATCCAGCGGGATCGTGTCGTAAATTTCAGCATCTTAAACGTCATTATGGTGCTGCTTCGTCGTCATTTCAATGATCCCATGGCAATGATGAGTTCCGCTGGAGATACGTCGATGGTAACTTTCGTTGATTTTGATGCAGAAACCAAGCATTCTACTGTACTCACACCCTCGACTGAACAAGCCGACATTTACCAGGTCGAAGTTCTTGACTTCCTTCAGCATATCTTCGAGAACATGCCTAGTTTGCACAGTTTCGTCATCTCCGGAGCTGAGAAGATGCGACAGGAGTTTATGGAGGAACTGACTCGGTTGATTTGCGCTGCCGCGAGAGCTTACTTAATTGAGCAGTATCCACACTCTCAAGCGGAAGTATCGAAAGTGTTGGAGGACAAACAAGTTGCTGTGACTGAATACAACATTGTGGTATGTCGAGCAGAGTTGGCAGAAGAAGCAGCAGCTGTGGATTCAAATGGAAGTGACCCGTTCTTACATCATCCCGTCGCGGCAAGTGGTTTACGGCTGTTAATCGCGCAATTGATGAAACTCCTGCTTGAAGCACCAAACGGCAGCGACGTTATCGAAGAGTATGTCGATGGCACAGCAAACTCAGCAGTAGTCCTCCCGCCTCTAAACAGTGGACTCGTCTTACGCTTCCAAAGTCTTGTGGTTATGGGTCTTCTCGATCATGTCCGTGCGAAGTTTGACGATGACGATATTGTGGCCAAGCACAAACACTTTGGAGCTAACGTGCGGGAGTTTGTAAAGTTTGTTGTTGCAAAAATGCATAGTTGGCAGCACCCACAGCATGGAGATGGATGCCCTGCAGTCTTTGCCTGCTGCGGGGCAGCTCATTTTGTTGGTGGGCCTTCTCGGCTATTGGAAATGGTGCTGTTTGTGTTAGCGGATGCACATATCGGGGCTTGTGGCGTAAATGGCAGTGGCTTGTCTTCATTATCAACACCTTCATCGTTTGGTGGGATGCTCTCTGAAAAGCTCAGTAAGGGGAAGAAACGGAAGCCATTTCGACAGCTTATGGACCGCATGACTCGCTCTGTAGAGCTTGACACGCTAGTTTCAGAGCTGTATATAGCCTTGAATGCTGTCATCCTACACGTCTTCCATGGTCGCGGTGCTGAGGTTGGAGACGAGGAGCTGGAAGCTATGCTACAGCAGATTCATTTGCATCGTGACGTCGTGTTTGGCTCACAAAGTAGCCACGACAAGCGATTTCTGGGCTGTTTGTGCAGATATCTGCTACAACTGTTGAGTGACGCCAACGTCCGCCCACTTCAAGAAGCGGCTGCGCATCTTTGGATCGATCTCATGCTTTTCCAACGGAGTTTTATTGATGATCTACTGACTGTCGAGATTCGGAAAAGTGGAGCGCCACCGTACTCGGTAAATTTGATGAAGAACGGGTTTGATGTGCTTCTCGAGTGCGCAGACGCTCCAGCCGAGAAAAGAATAGTGCAGTCGTCATCATTCGCTACGTTTTCGAAGTGGCTGGAGCTTGTTGGGCCTCCATTGAAGGAATTAGAGGGTAATTTGGATCGTATCTATATTCACTTCGTCGTTGAGACCAAGGAAGCTGTGCACGAAACTTGGACGGCGTATCACAAGAAAGCGAATCATCGGAAAAGCAAGTACGAAAAGCAATTCGATGCTCGGTACGATTGGTTCGTATCGATGGAGAATGCGTACATTGAGTCTTTGCTGCGTTCGCAGCAAAACGAGTTCCGTCGCCAGCTCAAGTGGGAACAAGACCGAGTAGACAGACAAAAGTTTGTTGCTCGTCAGTGGGGACGTCTGCGTCTTGATTTTCAGCGAAATGCGATAGCTGGTGCGAAAGATAAAGACCAGGGAGGATGGGAGAATGCTCGATCGATCTCGCCGGGTGGTTCCTTATTGATGAGGGAGATTGCAAACCGAAGCAGGTATGACTTGGAATCGTCATCTCCTCGGCGGTACTCATGGCGCTTAGACTTTACTGAAGGTCCGTATCGAATGCGTAAACGTCTTACCCAAATGGCTCAGACTCTAGAGCCATCGTGTCGTTTCCACGGCCAGCAGACATCGCCAGCGCGAATGTGTGAAGCGAGCAATAAGCTGAAACCGAGGAATTCAACACGAGATGGCGGCTCTGAAGGGCCCGGCCTGCTTCAGCGACGTTGTTCCGAGTCTGATGTCAATCTACGCACTGTCAGCTCTCAAGCAAAGTCTTGTAAGACAGCTGAGCCTCTCGCCAAGCGACAGCAATTCGATGAAAGTGAGACAGGCAATACCCGACAGCCAGCCACGAAGAGAGCGTTTGCGACCAGTGCATCGTCGTCTGCTGTGCTGAGCTCCAGAGAGCGGCTGCGTAAAGGATCGTTCGAAGCATTATTCACCAAGTACGTGAAGAATGAGAGACGCCCTTCACAGAGTTTTCGCTTCAATCGACTATCTGCTGGCCACGACAGTATCGTCGAACATGATGATCATGAAGAGGAGAAGGCAGGTGATGTCAGCGGGGTAGAGAGTTCAGCTGTTTTTGAGAGTGCTGTCAACTCTGGTGGTGTGGCTATGGAAGATGTCGTTGATGAGAAACTCCGGCCGCTTTTAATGCCTGGGGACGAGATCATTGCCATTTACGATTGTTTGCGCATTGACGGTATGGATTCAAGTCCTGGCGTCTTTCTGTTATGCAACGATCACGTGTACATTGTCGACAATTATCAGCGACAAAGTCAGCCGTTTGTTTCTTCTCACAACGATATTGGGAGTGAGCATAACTCCCAAACCCGCGTGACGGAGGTCCCTCAAGGTTCCACAACGTTGTTAGAGCGCCGTCTAAGCTGGCGTCTCCACGAATCTCCACACCATTCCCAATCTGTCGCGCGATCAAGGGATACCCATCAGTGTCGGTTTTGGGCGTACGAGGACATTACAGAGCTGCACAAGCGAAGATATCAGCTCCGTCATGTTGCCTTGGAGTTTTTTGCGAACGACGGTAGAAACTATCTGGTTCGTTAGCGTTTTTTGTGTACGTCTTGTCACCTAGAACTCACTTTATTATTCGTTTGCTGTAGGTTACACTTGAGTCACTGGAGCAGCGTGAGCTCGTATTACATGCTCTCTTGGCTAAGTGCCCAAATGTTCAAGGAGCAGCCAGTGGTCTTGATGGGGTATCAGGAGGGGGTGACTTGTACTCACAATTACGCAAACTACTACGCAACAGCATGACGGAACGATGGGTCCAAGGCGACATCTCCAACTTTGCGTACCTCATGCACCTCAACACACTGGCAGGAAGGTCATACAATGATCTCACGCAGTACCCTGTATTCCCGTGGGTTTTGGCCGACTATGATTCGGAGATATTGGATCTCAGTGACCCAATTGTCTATCGAGATCTACGCAAACCTATGGGAGCGCTTCAACGCGAAGAGGAGTTTCGAGCACGATACGATGGCTTACTGGAATCCCTTGGAGTTGCTGACGACGCTGCAAGCGACCACGCCCTCAGTTCCCGGCCGTTCCACTATGGTACGCACTACTCATCTGCTGCTATTACGCTACATTACTTGATGCGCTTGGAGCCTTTTACGTCGCACTTCCGACGCCTTCACGGTGGGAAATTTGACCACGCTGACAGACTATTTACGAGTATTGTCGGTGCCTGGAAGAGCGCGGCCGGTTTTGAAGGAGCTCAAAACGGCACCCAGGACGTGAAAGAACTCATTCCCGAGTTTTATTACTTGCCAGAGTTCCTAGAAAATGTCAACGCTTGTGTGTTTGGTACCAGCCAGACTGGAGTCGTCGTAGGAGACGTGGAACTTCCTCCTTGGGCCAATGGATCCCCCACTGAGTTCGTGCGCTTGAATCGCGCAGCTCTCGAGAGTCCGTACGTCTCCGCCAACCTGCATCATTGGATCGACTTGATTTTTGGGTACAAGCAGCAAGGCCCAGCGGCTGTGGAGGCTTGCAACATCTTCTACCACCTCACGTACGAAGGATCTGTGGACTTGGATGCGATCACCGACGCGTCCACCAAGCGCGCCATCCTGGATCAAATTACAGAGTTCGGACAAACGCCATCACAACTTTTCCGAACGCCACATCCAGTCCGCGCAGTCGCTGCGTCTACGAGTGGCAATATTGCTACGAATAGCTCGCTCTTTGGAGGTTCGTTGGGGCCGTCTTCAGGACCCAGTTATGCTCAAGGTGAAAGTGGAGATGGCAGGAGAGTGGCTACTTCCCCTTTGACTGCCCGGGCTGCGCTTGCCAGCTCCTTCCTGGAAGGAGGAGAAATCATCTCGCGGATGCAGACAATGTTGTCTAGTGGCCCAGTACTTAGCGGTACGTTCGTAGGCACGACGGAAGCAACGTTCTCGCCTGTTCTCGAGACCTCGGCATTGCTACAGCAGGAGCCACGACGGCAGGTTCCTGTCAATCCTCTTCTAGCTTTCTACCGACGTGGACAACAGGGCTCGACTTCTGGTAGCAACACGAACATTCACAACATCGCGTGGACAAGTGGTGGAGTTGCGCGAGAGGAAAAAGTGGTGGTTGCTGGCCCCAAGTGTCTCTTGATTCCTCCACGGAATAACGAATATCTTGCCTGGGGGTTCCACGATCAATCAGTCAAGGTTGTTTCTACTAGCTCTGCTGAGATCGGTGGTCATGGGAGTGAGTCCAAAGTGATTGCATGCTTAGAGCTGGATGTGGAGATTGACGTTGCGACCATCACCACTGACGGACGGATTGTCATCACAAGTAGTCCGAGCTTACCAGTCTTGCGTGTGTGGCGGTTCAATTCAACAAGACGTTCTCTGGCTGCGTCTCTAGCTGCGGCATCGGGTTCTTCTTCGGCGTCTGCTACATCGTCATCGGCTGCAGCTGTAGCAACGTCACTAGCTGCCGCGTCGGCTTTAAGTGCACCTCACAGACGTCGAACATACACGACAATGCCATCCAGCACTCGTTCACTCACACTGATGGGGTCCGTCTCCACGCCAATGCACCGGAATCGAATAACGGCGTTGCAGGCGAGTCGAGCGTACAGCGTCCTTGTGAGTGGATGTGCTGGTGGTGTTGCTGTGCTTTGGGACTTAAATCGCCGTCGATTCATCCGCCAACTTCCGCCAATCTGTGGCCAAGACGACACGAGAGTACGTGGAATCACGACGATATGTATCAACGAAGTGACGGGCGACATTGTCGTGGCTGCTGGCTCGACGTTTGGTGTGTACAACATCAATGGAGTACTCCGCGTGCGTTTAGATGACAGTGTCGTGGTGTTCCAGGATCCATCTGCACTCTCTCCGGTTTCTATCACTTCAATGGCAGTGAATCGCGGTGAGGCGTGCGAATGGAGTGCTGAGAAGCACGTGATAACTGGTCATGCTGACGGTACTCTTTGCATTTGGGCGTATTTGCAATCTGGCGGACGGGATCAGAATGGACAATCTCAACAAAGTCGACGGAAGGACGAGTGGATAATTGAGCTTCAAGGGCGGCACAAAGTGACACCAACCAGTTCTATCACCGCGGTATGCGTCACTCCAGATAAGAGGAAGCTTTTCACTGGAACACAAGATGGTCACCTCTCCGTCTGGACGGCTTCGACATCCTATGCATCGCCCACAGCTCACCGCTAAACCAACAACCACTGAATGCTTAGAATTTTTTTTTTCAGTAGAAAACAGAAAAATATTGGCCTTTAAATTTTTTAGTTACAACCTCCCATCGTGTCAAATTTTTTGAGCTAGACCAAAGTGTACCTGAAGTGTGACTTGTGTGACTAGTCACTCTTATGACAATCCTGGTACATGGTACCAGCCATTGGCTGACTTCAAAACTTGACCGTGCTTCGAAATTAGTCGCGCTTTAGTGACGTCACAAATCTGGATTATTTTACAAGAATCATTTTATTCTAGTATGCTGATTTGAAATATGAACAAGTAGTTCCTATAAACGGGCAACTAAACTTCCAAAAATTCTGTGCTCCAACCTAAACACCATAATTAGTCATGGCATGACTAACTAGAGTGAACGGTGTAGTTTGTTTATTGAACTCAAGCGTAGCCTACCTATAAATGCATTCAGTTTACAACCGACCTTTAACAGGTCACTTCGCTTATTTTTGAACAAGAAAACCTGTGAAGCTGTATGTCTCCCTGAGAGATTTGTAAAACTCTCGGGAAATTCTACTTCCTCAAGCGCAAGGTGCTCTGTGGCCCCATTACACGTTGTAGCCATTGTAGGCTACAATTTGTAGCCAATCCATACCAACGCGAGTAGACTACCTGAAACTCTGAAGTTCGACGTAATGGACAGAAGCTGTAATGGGCCAACTCTGTGCCCGCTTCTTCGGTTTATACGCTAGCTCACGTGTATGAAGAAGCGTACGATGCGGTTCACTTAGATTAACTATACTTTCGTCCAAAAAATATAGATTTAGCTAAATAGGAAAGCAAAGCCGATTCCAAGTAAAATTGAGACCTGCTTATTTGTTCTTGTTTGGGGTTTCCTTTTTTAAATGAAAGGTATTTGCCAACGAATGATTGACAGAATCGTACAATTCAAATTGGTTCAAGATATCGACTTTTAGCGAATGAATGTCTTAAATGCATGCAGACCAATAGTCTGTCATATGTGACCATTGGTGTATCTCACACCGGAGTGGTTACGGCAACCGTAAATCTGAGACATGTTGGGTCGCTATAGATGCTTATGGTTGCTTTAAGCGTTTTTTACCAGGCGTAATTTAAATATCTTTCAAAACGTACTTATTAAGTACAAATGACTCATTTCCAAAACGGCATTAAGTACGGAGAGGCGTTACTGCAACCACAATACGACAAGACGACAGGAAATAATGCAACCTTATCGCCTAAAGCGACCATAAAAACATATGGTTCTGGTAATTTATAATAAATGACGTGGCCACGTCGTCGCCTTCATCAATAGCAGTGTAAATAACGCCACAACATCCTAAATTTAGAGTTATTGAAACAGCATTAAAGGCGTGTGCACCACACCTGGGTGTGTTTCTTACACTACACTGTGTGGAACACATTTTTTCACACTTAGCAAATATTTCAAGGATCCAACATCGCAGCAAGGATGGACGGAAGGTCGCTCGCTCGGGAGCTGGTGCGCGCGCGCATCTACGAGCTTATGGACATGAAGAACACGCTTGAAAAGCTCGGCGCAAGCCTCGAGAAGGTACTAATAGCTCAGAGGGAGTTACTGTCTCGAATTGAGGTGAGCGAGGAGAGCATCTACGTGCTGGCGCCTGAGATTGCCAATGCTGGTGCGAGTCAAGACGGCCACCTATCCTTCGGAGCTTTGTTAGAAATGGCAGTCAACAGATTGAATGGGTAGTATGGTAGTATGCTAGCGGTTTTTATATTAACGGATAACACAGCTACATCTACCTACTTCAGATGCTTGAGCAGCTTCTCATTAATAGACTTCGTATTATCCACAGTGCGACGAGCCATACGGCTCCTGCTCGATTTACAGAGTATTATCCACAGTATTCGGAGACGCATAGCTTACACATCACTCTTGGAAACGTTTCTGCATTGCCAGCGAAGATTCGCGGTCACATAGCTGTAAGCTTGGGCCACAACAAACACACCACAGCTTGAGTAGTCGGGTTGCTGTGGAGCTTCAATCCACTCAATAGGGTCTATGCATAATTTTGCCGCAGGTGCCGATGCCTTACTCCATCTCGCCACAAACCCACAAAGCCCTTCCATAACTGAGTTACCATCGCCGTCCTTAACACCGTTCCAAACCACCTCCATGTCCCCATGATAACCTTCGTCAATCAGGGGCTCATACAGGTAGGGATGCACATGTAATGTGTCCTTGTCTTCAACGTAGCGTAACGTAGTTATTATGATACCCCAGTGGCTTTGGTTCAGGTTGACAGGTTGAATCATGAACTTGGTAGAAGTGATACGCGTGTTTGGTGTCTTTGGCCATCCAACAGCTGCCGTCAATGATGACAGGACGTAGCAATCCCGCACCGTGCTTCCAATGATTTCCAAACAGAAGTCAATTGGGCTATCATTCAGCCATCCTCAACAGAGTCCACCAACAACGTTTTCGAAGGCGATGCAGGCCTTACCCGACCGTGTCGTGTATTCAGAACTCAGTCGACTGGATGCAAACTTTGAGATCACCTCGTTTGTCATGGTGCAGTGTCGCCCCTTTACAGCATCAACTGATAGCCCACTCGTTTCAGTCTAAACAGCAAATAGATCCACATCGGAGTTTACCTTCCGCCAGTTTTTCTCCAACCATTTCCGATCTTCGAACCATGCTTGTACCTTGGCCTTTATCGCGTAGAATGTAATTGCAGCTCCCACGTATTGTCTAGTACAAATCACAGCTCACAGTTATAGCAACCACAATATGACGACCATAAAAAGCAACCATGCGAGAATGGCAACCTTACCCGCTGAATTTCCAAAGTTTGGGGTCGATAGAAGCTACGAGATCGAGCACGATTCCTTGTTTCTTGATGCGGTCGTCGAGTGGATCTGGGTGACGTTGCTCGGACTTAGCTGTCTTGATTGAAGCTTGCATTGACCGCGTGATGTCTCCAGGGATTACAAATGGGTGCATGTACGTTGCTGGTCGTACAGCTCCCCAGCTGCATTCGATTGTGCGACCCCTGAGGTACGCATCGTCTAGTTGGACAGGGTATTTGTCTATCATGCCCGCCACAGCTCTGACATTCTCTGTGTTGCGTGCCCGAACGACAAACTCATCAAGCTGTACGGTGAGATCACTAGGGTATTTGTGCACGGCGAGACGAGTATGAACTGAGGTAAGCTTTGTCTGTCTTAGCTGCTTCGGATTTGATCGTTGTCTCCCTCGGGTCTTCGGCTTTGGGACGTTTATGATATCCACTCGCCGCGTAGGCATCGCTGGGTCGGTAGTTGGATGTAAAGCAGATTCACCAACCTCACAATTTTCGACTTTCTTGTAATCAACTGCATTCTCGTAATCATCTGTATTCTTGTGATCAGCTTCATCTGCGATGGATACCGGCGATTGTGCCTTGCTCACGAACTGTCTTGGGCAATCGAGAGGAAGAATGTTGTTTCCCGATTTCGGACTTAATCTGCCGCGTGATGATAATCTGGTGCTGGAGTAAACCCGCCAACGTCCTGTCAATTCTAGTCTTGAGGCCTAGAAGCATCTTCAAGTATTTCCAATTACACTCGATCCTGTTAGTTGTCGTATTACCAGCAGTAAAATGTTTTTCGCGTTCATAGTTCGACCACATTTGTCGACACAAATGCCAGGTTTTCTCAAAATACGCAAAGAAATTGGTCCTCCTTGACTTTTTGCAGTATTTCTTCATTGCATCATCTGCAGATACATACGCGTCTTGTGTGCGGCTGCCAGTAACCACAACAAATGAGTGAAAAGGCAATAGAGAAATTTGCTGACTGCAGCGCACCAATACAGCATCTTCGTCAGCAACTCGATAAGTTCTTCTCTCTGTGCCATCTTGAGCTCAAATACTTTGCGTTTCATCACTTGTTTCCAGTATGTAATGGCGTGGAATTGACAGAGTAGCACCTGGGCGGTTGGAAAGCACTCCTCAAGCACTTGCCACTCTACAAAATCTTTGTCGATAACCACACTCGTGACGTCTTTCCACTTTGATTTTTTGTCCTTGAAATATTCCAAGATCGTTTTAATCGTGACAGCGTTCTCACTGAGGCAAATAAAGTCAACCACTGGGAACCCTCTACCCGTACGCGTAGTGACAACCAAACTCCCTACACAACAGTAGCAACCAAATGAGAGTCAAGGCTGTTGTAAATAAATAAGGTTGCGCTTAAGGTTGCTATAAACATAAGGTTGCTTTTCTGCACGTACCTAAATGGTAGCCAAGATTGTTCGTTCCGTGCGTGAAGTCCATCGTCAAGGTTTCACCCCACCGCTCAAACATCATATTTTGCACTTTCGTTTGCATGATGGCTCCACAGGTGATGTCCATCTGGTGCTGGATAACGAGCACATCTCTACCTTCAATCTGTCGAAGAGCATGCAGCAAGTCTTTCATACGATCCTGAGCGGAATCTGGCCCCATGATACTCCGGAGAAGATTTCTGGTTTGCTGTGGTGTCACTTTACAATCTTTACAGCGTAAGACATTACATACCAGTCGGTTAGATTGAATAATACCACATAATAAAAAATAAACAACTAACCAATGCGGTCGTTCAAGAAATTGGTGATGTGGGTAGAAGAACACGCGCATCTGCCAATGTTTTCACATCCTCCATATCTTGTTCGTCCAGCGGCAGCGTCGCCGTTGTCAAGTAGCTTGAAGCTTGTGCTCTGCTGTTGTCGTGCGA